AACGTGATACAACAGAATGCATAAATTATCAAACAATATCATTAATACTACATGCAAATAAAATTTTGCTGAAGATCATTCAAAAGCAGTTGCAGGAGTACATCTACAGGGAACTGCCAGAAATTCAAGCCGGATTCAGAAGAGGACGTGGCATGAGGGATATCATTGCTGATGTCAGATGGATCTTGGCTGAAAGCTGAGAATATCAGAAAGATGTTTTCCTATGTTTTATTGACTATGGAAAGGTATTTGACTGTGTGGATCATAACAAATTATGGATAACATTTCAAAGAATGGGAATTCCAGAACACTTAATTGTGCTCGTGAGGAACCTATACACAGACCAAGAGGTAGCTGTTCGAACAGAATAAGCGGATACTGTGTAGTTTAAAGTCAGGAAAGGTGTGCGTCAGGGTTGTATCCATTCACCATACTTAGAGAGACTACAGCCTTCAGTATGGATTACACCTCAACATTAAAGAAAACAAAAATCCTCACAACTGGACTAATGAACAACATCATGATAAACAGAGAAAAGACTGAAGTTGTCAAGGATTTCATTTACTTGGATCCGCAATCAATGCCCACGGAAGCAGTAGTCAAGAAATCAAAAGACGCATTGCACTGGGCAAATCTGCTGCAAAAGACCTCTTTAAAGTGTCCAAAAGCAACGATGTCTCAAGGACAAAGGTGTGCCTGACCCAAGCCACAATATTTTCAATCACCTCATATGCATGTGAAAGCTGGACAACGAATAAGGAAGACCGAAGAAGAACTGATACCTTTGAACTGTGGTGTTGGTGAAGAATGTGGATTATTCCATGGACTGCCAGGGGAATGAACAGATCTGTCTTGGAAGAAGTACAGCCAGAATGCTCCTTGGAGACAAGGATGGCGACACTTCGTTTCATATATTTTGGATATGTTATCTGGAGGGACTACTTCCTGGAGAAGGACATCATGCTTGGTAAAGTCAAGCGTCAGCAAAAAAGAGGAAGACTCTCAATGAGGTGAATTGACACACTGGCTTCAACAACAGGCTTGAGCATAACAACAATGGTGAGGATGGTGTGGGACTGGGCAGTGTTTCGTTCTTTTGTACATAGGGTCAGTATGAGTTGGAACCAACTCTACGGCACCGAACAACAAAAATTACAGATGAAAAGAGCCCTGGTGGCACAGTGGTTAAACACTCAGCTGCTAACCAAAAGGTTGGTGGTTCAAACCCACCTGCTGCTCCACAGGAGAAAGATGTGGCAGTCTGCTTCCCTAAAGATTACAGCCTTGGAAACCCATGGGGCAGTTCTACTCTGTCCTATAGGGTCGCTATGAGTTGGAATTGACACGATGGCCCCTAACAACAATAGCAGATAGACAGAATACTATCCCAAAGTAATAATTTCAATAATGTTTTCAAATACGGAAAAATCTATAATCACAGAATTATTATTTATAATATTTTTAAAAAAAGAAACAAACTCAATGCCCAACAATAGCTAAATGGTTACATGATAATTACAATGGTAATAAAAACCAAACTCATTGCCATTCAGTCCAATTCCAACTGATAGTGACCCTATAGGACAGAGTAGAACTGCCTCATAGGGTTTCCAAGGCTGTAATCTTTACGGAAGCCAACTGCCACATCTTTCTCCCGTAGAGGAGCTGGTATATTCGAACCGCTGACCTTTCGTTTAGCAGCTGAGCGCTCAACTACTGTGCTATCAGGCTCCTATAATAGTAACAGCTACGATTTACTGAGTACTTGTGGTTGGTTGCCATCAAGTCGATTACGACTCATCATGATTCCATGTGTGCAGAGTAGAACTGCTCCATATAGTTTTTAAAGCTGTGACCTTTCAGAAGCAGACTGCCAGGCCCGTCTTCCAAGGCACCTCTTAGTGGGTTTGAATCGCCAACCTTTTGCCTAGCAGCCAAGTGCTTAACTGTTTGCACTACCCAGGGACTCCTGGGTGAGTTATTCTTTCCCTTGTTTGATGAGGTTGAGTACTTACTAGGTGCCAAATTCTGTACTTTAACCCAGTCTCTCTGACCACAAAGCATCTGTTCTTAATCAGCAGTTACTGGTAGCTGACATTCACTGGAACTTTACTGCATGCCAGGCCCTGTTCTCAGTTTTACATGCATCACCTCACCATAACAACTTTATGAGGTAGATACTTATTATCTCTATTTTACAAATAGGGAAACAGAGACTCAGATAAGTTTAGTAATTGGCCTAGGTTCCCATAGTCAGAAGGTGGCACAGCTGCAACAGGAACCTAGGCCGTCCAACTCCACATCCCAGTTTCTTACGTAGCACCCTCTACTAACACCAAAACAGCAATTCCTTAGCATTCACTGATGGAATAGAATGCCCTGGGTGAGAGCCCAATATAGTAACTAGGGCATTCAGGAAAGGCTTCTCTGAGAAAATGACCTTTGAGCAAAGACCTAGAATAAGGTGACAGATTCGATGTGGTGGATGAGGAAAAGAAGACTCAAGGATTACTCCTAGGATTTTTTGCTTGGGCAACTGGGTGAATCCAGTCACTGAGGAGTTGCTTTACGAAAGAAAATCAACAACTGTGTGTTAAGCTTGAGAAGCCAATGAAACAACCAAATGGAGATGTCAAATAGTCTGATATCTAAATCTGGAGTTCCAGAGCAAAAGTCAGAGATAGAAATACAGATATGGACAAAAATAAGGATACAAATACCTAATTTGGGAGTAATAAGCATATAAATTGTACTTAAAACCATGGGACAGAATGAGATTACCTAGGGAGAAGATAGATATAGAAGAGAAGGCAGTCTAAGAAAGCCCTGGAGCACTCCAACATTCAGAGTTAAAGCAGAGGTAGGGAACCAGCAATGAAGAGAAGTGGGCAGTGAGATGAAGAAGACATTTGGAAAAAAAAATCAGATGCCCAGATCTAGGCCATGTGGATTCGGTACCTAAAGTGGGGGGCAAATATGTATTTTATAAAACTTCCTAGACTATTTCAATATTCTGAATGTAAGTGAGAGATCTGAGGAGACAAACTGCACAGTTAACAGTGGGAGTGGGAGGGAGGACTAGAATTTTGAGATATTTAAAAGGTCACTGACAGTACTTGGTGACTGACTAGATATGAAACGGAAAGCAGAAAGAAAATAAAATGGCATACTGGTTTCTTTATTGGGAGAGTGGAAGGGTGCTGCTGCCACTAAATCAAGTAATAGAAATGAGGATAGAAACAGGGTTTTGGCAGTGGTTTTTTCTGGTGTGTTGGGACAGAGGTGCTGAAGAAGAGCTAATAGTCTTGACAGTCAACACTGATTACAGTAAGTACTTATTTGTCAGTAATTTATATCTATTTTTGAGAGGTCAGCATCTCAAAAACACTGTCATCAAATATCACAAGAATCTCACCTTGAAAATTAAGAAACTGAACTTAGCCTAAATTTACATTGCTGGTAAGTAGCATAAAAGGGCTTCAAACTAGGTTTGTTTGACTCTGAGCCAAAGTTTGAGGTACCTGTGGGATACTAGGTAGGGATGCAGAAGTCATCAAGGCAGCTAAAGTCTTAGGAAGGATATGATAACCCAGGGAGAAAACATCAATCAATAAGTAAATCAATAAAAGATCAATAAATCATTATTCATATACTTGGTTAATTCTTATAATGGTACAATGAGCCTTTTTTCTCACCTATAAATGAAGACAATACTTAATTCGCAGGTAATGCTCACTAAGGACAAGGACCTCATCTTAGTCTTTGTGTTGCTAGGTTTGCCTGGTAAAAAATGACCATTGAACAGAAGTTTTCCAAAGCTTAAAAAAACAAAACAAAACCCAATAACTGGCCAGAGTTAGAAAAACACTACACAACAGAAGAACAACTACTTCTTGACAAACTATAGCATAGTTCTTTTATTTCCTTTCTATGTAGCAGACTTTTGGGACCACAATAATGTCTGTTTTATGAATTGCCCTACAGTAAACAGGAGACAGAATTCAGAGTGACAGGCACTCTTATACACTGCCAGGGGACAGTTAAGTATGTTCTAGAAGGCAATTTGATAAAATATATCAACAGCCTTAAAGCCCTAACTCAGCAATTTTCCTCAGGAATTTATCCAAAGAAAACAATAAGAGATGTGGCCAAAGATTAAGACTGGAAGTAACCCAAATATCTAGCAATAGGAAAATGATTAAATAAATCATCACACATACATAGGGTAGGATTATTATATAGGTCTTAAATAAAGTTTTTTTTTCTTTTTCTTTTTTTTTTTTTTTAATTGTGCTTTAGGTGAAAGTTTACACCTCAAGTTGATTTCTCATTCAAAAACGTATACACATATTGTTTCGTGACATTGGTTGCAATCCCCACAATGGTGACAGCATGCTTCCCCTTTCCACCCCAGGGTCCCCGTGTCCATTCATCCAGTTCCTGTCCCTGCCTTCTCATCCTGCTTTTGGACAGAAGCTGCCCATTTGGTCTCATATATTTGACTGAACTAAGAAGCACGTTCCTCACATGTATTGTTTTTTGTTTTATAGGCCTGTCTAATCTTTGTCTGAAGAGTGGGTTTCGGGAATGGTTTCAGCTCTGGGTTAACAGAGCATCTGGGGGCCACAGTTTTGGGGGGATCCTACAGTCTGTCAGACCATTAAGTCTGGTCTTAAATAAAGTTTTTCAAGAACACTTAAGGATATCAGAAAATGCTTTTGATAAGTAAAATGAAAACAGTAGAAAATAAACTTACCTAGTATAACCATAATTTTGTATTTATATGTTATGTGTGGCTATCTATCTATATATTTATTACCTAGAAAAAACGTTGGAATATACCAAAAATATTACCAGTACTTTTTCTGGGTGGAAAGACTACAGGGGATTTAAATTTTCTTCTTGATATTTTTCAGTATTTCCAAAATTTCAGCAAATAGCACATTTTCATTTTAAAACTTAGAAACTAATATATAAAATAAAAGCAAGAGAGTACTCACCTTCTTTCTTTTTCTAGAATTCTTTGTGGGGTCAGGCTTCTCAAACTCTACTGACTTTGCCTCTTCCTTCTCCTCTTCCTCATCAGGTATCAGGGAGTACTTGGTCCCACCCGGCTGCATGAAACAATCCTTTGCAAAGTGGCCTGTGAAGAGTAGAAAAGATAGAGAAGGAGAAAGTAGTCTCTCCTCTCGGCAGATGGATCTTCCCCAGAGGCTCCTGAAAGGGGCTAGCTGGTTCAGGAGTTATTACTGAGTTCATTCAGAGCAGATTTTGTCACTTCAAGATGGCATTGCTCGCTCAACCACAGCCAGACTAGCAGCTGGTCCTACGGCTGTGGGAACACTGGCACTGCTCGGGATATGAGGATGCAGGCTTGTGCTGCCCTCCATTACCAACAGGGCTTATTAATTCTTAAAGATCTATTTTGGAACTTATTCCTGACAATGAAAGGCTGCTCCAGAGAGCAGAATGCTTAGCAGAGGGAGCTGAGTGGTAGGTCAGGTCCTAAAGGAAGCTAGCTCTTAGGCAGCTGGCAGGATGGAGGCACTCACATCCAAGCTAACACAGAGAAGGAGGCACCTAGGGGCACTGAATATTCAGATTGTCAGGTCTGGCAAGGGCCTTAGAGATCATCACATCGAACAGTCTCCAGTGCAGAGTATATGAAGGCCCAGGGCAGAGAAGTAGCTCAAGGTCACACAGATAGCAGCAGAACTAAAGCTTATCCCAGGCCCCATGCTCCCTTGCCTGTGCTCTTTCTGCTGCACCAAAACCAATCACCTTTGGCATTACCTTTGCTGACTGGGCCAAATTCCATTTCTCACTATTCTCCTCTGCCTCAGGTTACACCTGGTGGACACAAGGTGAAGGTGGGAGCACCCCCACTCTCCCTAAGCCGATAGTGCTATCAAGACACTATGCTCTACAGGGCTGTTTGTCTGAGCTTGTTTTAGACCCTGCCTCAGGGACACAGAGGAATTGTATTAGACAATCAAAAAGCTGTGTGTGAACTACTTTACACCTCTTGGTCCAGCAGCTAAAAGGTGCCTGGAAGGGGAATACAACAGAGTTTTCCAAGCAGGTGGAATGCTCCCACAATTCCTCTGAGGAGGTTTTCTCTTTCAATTTTACTTTTCCCTTTCTTCGTCTATATTAATGATGAATAGGGGCTTAAAACCCCAAAAACTCAACCAGGCCACGAATCTGCTACCAGTCTTTGGAAAAAAAATCAACAGAAAGGATGACTGGAAGGCTAGGGAGAAGGGGTGACAAATTGAGGTCACTCTGTAAATGAGAAGCTGGCAACCTCACTCATTATAGCTCCAACAAGGGAAATCAGGCTGAAAGAGCTCTTTAATATTTGAGTAAGACTAGAGGAAACCTGAAGAAATAGAACTAAAAGGAAGTGACTATCCTGGTTCTTATTACTAAAAGGATTTTATATTCAGAACTCTGAAGTTAAAAGAGATAAAAATGAGAAATGAAGAGTTTAGCCTGGATCCTGAAGGAGTATATTTCCAAGTCTCTTCATTTTTGCAGCAGAACACTAGTGGTCCCTGGAGATAAAACTTAAGGCGTTAATCATAATCCAACACTCTTACCCTGGCATAATAAATGGAGACTTTGCCAAGGCAGGTCATTAGCTACAGAGTGTGGGAAGTGGTGATGGCGGTAGTATAGTATCTGGCAAGAACAGCATTCAGAAAAGGGAACAGAGAAAAGCATCAAGTCATGAACTCCCATCTCTGACATGAGTCTGGTAGGAGTAATAGCATAAGCAGGTGAGGCCAACACTTCGCTAAGAACCCGTGAGCAAAACTCATACTAGGCTGCCTCCTTCATCCTGTAAATGGTCCATTCACAAGGACAGAGAGACTGGGAAGGCAGAGACTTCACCTTACCTTTACAGCCACACTTCTTGCAGGTAGTGTTCAGGACAGCCTCGAGGGTGATCTTCTGCCCAGTGTAATCCTGGAAGGACCGTCTCCGTCTCTCTTCTTGCCTGTAATGAAAAGGATACTGTTGGCCCCCTTTAAGAGATGTGGCCTGAGATACTACAGAGCAATGTACCTTGGTTTTTCGTTGTTTTTGACAGGGAGAGAGAATAAAAAGCACCAGGCAAAAGGAGACAGGCAATAAAAGCAATGGCACGAAATAGCCCAGTTTTTTCATTCAGGACAAAGCTCTGAATTAACAATTATTAATGAGATTATGCCTCATCGCACTGATGCACAGGGGATAAAAATATAATTTCTCACTTTGCTAAACTCCCTACACCCCTTACCAGGTCACTCCTGGGTTTAAAAGACCTTTAAGGTCTTCGTAGAAAATCAAGTCCAAATTCCTTACCTTGGCATGCAAGGCCTTTTGCAGTCTGTCTCTAACCTACTTTTCCAACCTCATCTTTACTTGTACAAAATTCTCTGGCCAAACCAAACTATTTTACCTTCAACAGATGGTTCCATGCCTTTGTTCAGGTAGTTCCCTCTCTCTGAAATGCTCTGCTTCCCCTCTTTACTCCCACCTCACCACTTCATTACATCCAAATATTTCAAGGCTCAGCTCAGTTACCATTTCTCCTTCGATCAAGTCATTTTCTCTGGGCCCCTCAGCCAGAGTTAATCTTTGTTCATATTCCCATAGCACTTTTTAAAACTTCTGAACTTTTTACCAAAGAATAATATACATACAGAAAAGTGCTCATTATAAGTATACAGCTCAATTTAATTTTCACGATTTGAACATATCCACGTGACCAGTACTGAGATCAAGACAGATCACTATCACACCTCTGAAGCCCCTCTCAGACTCCCTTCCAGTCACCAGGCCTCCCCTAAGGGTAATCACTATTCTGACTTCTAACCAGAATGGATTAGTTTTACTTGTTTTTGTAAATTATATTAAATGGAACCATAGAGTATTACCCCTTCTCTGTTTGGCTTCAATCACTTAACGTTATCTTCGTGAGATTCATCATCTTACGTATAGCTGTGGATCATTCATTCTCACTGCTGTATAAATATTCTACTGTTGATAAGCACTGGATAATTTCTATTATGAACAGTGCTTCTGTGAACTGTCTAGTACATGTCTTTCGGTGAAAACATGTATGCATTTCTGTTGGGTATATACCTAGGAGTGGAACCGCTGAGTCTTAGACTATCAACTTTAGTAGAAACTGCCAAACTGTTTTCCATGTGTTTTTTGTTTTTTTTCTAATTGTACTTCAGGTAAAGGTTTACAGAACAAATAGTTTCTCATGAAACAGTAGTACACATATTGTTTTATGACATTGGTTAACAACCCCACGACAAGTCAACCCTCTCTCTTTTTTTTTTTGGTGAAAATATACATAGCCAAAGATACACCATTTCAAAAATTTCTACATGCACAGTTCAGTGACATCGGCTATGCTCTTCCAATTGTGCTGCTATTCTCACTTTAGATGAAGGTTTACAG